CCTGCAGGACCTCAGAGAAAACTCCAATCTAAATAAAGTTGAATAAAAATATATCAACAAAATCTGGACAGGTGCAAAAGGCATTATCCTCCTTTTGGGAATGGGTAAGTGGGAGAGAATGAGAGCAGGGAATGTGGGACAATCCAGACAGCCATATGTGGTTGCAGTCTGTAAAATCATGTTAAACTGAAATCCTCCACTGACTGTACTAGCACTTTTCCCTTAAATGAACTACTGCTGTCGGGATAGGTAGTCCAGAGTTCAGGTCTGATAATGGTTTCACTAGGCATTACTCAATATATAATTAAATAGGTTTAATATTTTATGTATGGTTTTCATCGTTCTTTGTTGGGGCTGATCTCACTCTCAAAATGTTTCTGACACACATTGTGTATGAAAGGCTGTTGAATTGATGGTAAATACTGTATCGATCTCTGAAATAGAACGGATTTTATTTTGAACAAAGCAATACTGATGTTGAATCAAAATCAGCTTCTATCTGTCAATGGATGGACTGGACTTTTAAGAAGAACTTACCAAATCAAATCGTAATATGATGGCAACTTGTGTCCTAAAATGTTTTGCCAACTTTCAAAATTGTTTGTTCCACTTAAATTTTCCCAGTCAAGAGCAAATTTTTCCGATTATTCCACCACATGAATGCAGTGTTAAATTAACAACCTACAGTTAGTTTTGCCCAGTTCATGTTTCAGCACAACCAACATCCGGTTTAATCCCCACCATTTCCAAGTATGGATAATTTAGTTGGTTGAACACATAACGGTTTATTCGTATCCCTAGTCACTACAAATGACCCTTTTAACATTACCTATATTGATATTAAAAAATTGATAAGTGCAGTTTTAAGAAAAGGATTTTAGAATTGTGACATCTTGTGGGCCTTGCCTCCAGGACTAATTCATCAATTATATTTCAAAATTTTGTGTTTTTGTTACATTCAGTGTCTGTCTATACAGTGCTGTTTTATAAATGTTTGTATCTGGCAGGTGATTTCAGTCTCGTAGCTCTGGGCTACGTTAGAGTAGCAACTCAAACCAATCTTAACTCAGCTGGGTTCAGCTCAATTCACCTCCGCTTGATCCTCCTCCTTGCAGCTCATCTTGCAGATGTCTTAGCAGATAGACTGTGCAAATTCATTTGCCAGAGAGATCAGCACACATTCAAGGTCAGAAGGCGTTCTTCAATGTATGGACAGCACAGAGTATACAGGCAAAGGCTGAATGAAGGGATAAGCCCATCCCTTACATTTGGGTTCAAGTTCTGATGTCAAACAGGCTTCTGTACGAACCACAACAGAGTTATTACCCATTTTTAATACACTGGGATAATGGAACCAACCTTGAGGGAGATGTTGTAACAGTCTGATGATATTATCTATGCAGGCTGGAAGTGGTGTGTAGCGCCAATATGATGATATGATATGGCTGAAGTTGAGTATCTGCATAGTTATAATTTATAGGTCACCCTGTTTGCCTCATTTGAACTGATAAACTGCATTTGCGATAACTTTGTGTTTGTATGTCAACCATCTATAAGCATCCAAATTCACACACCATTGGTTGGTCACACAAATGGACACACCCTGTCTCAGACAAATGTTTTTCTCCTTTCTATGTGCATGTGCTTTCCTGCATGTACATGTGTCTATTTTTTAATGTGTGACCCTATCTGTGCAAGATATCTCCACTTAATTCCACCCTAAGCCATTGTTGCAGTTAAAGGAAGCATGATGACATGAAGCTGAAACATTCTGTGCATGTTTGTGAAATATATAATGATGGGAAACAATGCAGGAAAAAAGCCCAGGACTGAGGCTTCCATTTGCTAATCTGGTGGGTGTCCAGCTGGATCAGTGGGCTAAGGCACATACTATTATATAACTGAGACACTGTGGACGCAAATCCTTTGTCACAAGTCATGTCATCACTCTCTGTGCTCTCTGCTTAATAGATTCTCAGTGGAATTTTTTTTTTAATTCCCCCAAGTCCATACAAAGGTCAGACTGCAGGGTCAGGTTGAGAATCATGTCTGTGGAGCTGGTAGAGATTCAGTGATTGCACCATCGGGGCTCGAAATCAGGTTTTTCAAAATCTCCCCAGTCACAACTTCACCCTGCTGTATCTCTCCTCTCTTTTCTGGTGAGTGTGATGTCTAAAAACACTCAGATGTTCCTGACATCTGGTGGTGGTGTATAAGTATTACATCTGAGCAAGTTCATCTTTTCATTGGAGCGATAAGATGAGCTTTGCTGCACTCTTCCAGCGGAACATTGAAAGTGTAAAGTGTCAGAAAGTTGCTCATGGGTAAATCTTGATTCTTGCAAAATTTCACAATGAATTAAAAAGCGTGTATTTTGTTTTATTTCCTCTCATC